TGTTTGGTGCAAATCCAAAATGGCTCATCACCCCAAGAACACAGGCCCTGCTGTCAAGCGTGGTGCTGGCAGCATCACGATATGGGGCTTCTCTTCAGTGGGGACAGGGGCTCTGGTCAGGATAGAGGGGACAATGAACAGCTCCAAATATCAAGAGATTTTGGCACAAAACCTGCTACCCTCTGACAGAAAGCTGGAGTTAAAGAAGAATCAATGTGTTGAAAGGAGAGATCTGAAGCACACTGCCAACTCCACCAAAGACTCCCTTAAAAAAGGGAAGATCAATGTCCTGGACTGGCCCAGTCAGAGCCCGGACCTCAACCCTATAGAAAACCTGTGGACTGACCTGACTGCACAGGACTTATCCTTACAATCTGACTAAGCTTGAACTCTTCTGCAAATAACAGTGTGATTAAAAAATGCAAAATCCAGCTGTACTAAGTTGATAGCAGTCAGCCTGTTTGGATAGGTCTGTTTGTAATCAAAGCAAAAGGATTAGTTAAGTGGTGTACACACTTCTGTACAAAGCATTGAAAAAGCTTTTATTATTTTTCCTAAAAAGTGATCCATTTTGTTTTCACTGAAATATTGTTGGTCACAAGATCTTATTAAATGTGGAGAAAAAGGAGGGCTGACATGATTTGTCTTGATTTCAGCCTTACATCAACAAAAGCTGAAGTTTCAATAAGGGCGTGTAGACTTTGATATCCACTGTATGTAACGGAGGTGTCGCCCTGGAGGTGTCCTAGGATGTAGGTTACCACGACAGTGACTTTCCAATAATGCTGTGATGCGTCTAGACATTGCAAGAGATTTTATGATGAAATAACACCTTGAAACCAGTTTAATGGACCAAATAGCCTCCTCTCGCTCGTAACCCCTCTTATGCTCTTAACCCTGGCCTTGAAAACGATCTATTGTCCGAGTCGTCAGCGTTTTTCGAACTCGTTGATTTTGTGTGTGTGTGTGTGTAAGTAAGCAGATCTACAACGCCGTCTTGAAAACGTGCACAGGCAGGGTGTCTTCCACTACCTGGAAGGTTGTCTGTCAGGAAGGCTAAAGGCTGGTTTAGATTCGGTCTTTCTCACCGTCTGGGTCCGGTCCTCCCAGTTCACCTCGAACCCGCTGAACGCGTGGCTCTTGGCGTTCTTCGCCAGCTCTTTCACCACCGTCCCCTCCACCCGGAGCAGGAACTCTCCCAGTCCGGGGGCCTCTTGCTCGGACGGCGGGGCCAGGCGGGAGCGCTGGGCCCAGAGCTCGTCGGCGTCAGTCTGAGTGCCACTGTCCGAGGTCTGGAGGGACTGCACCTCCACCTCCGCGGTCTGCAGGGGTGCCGTCTGGCAGCTCTTCTGGGAAGAAAAACAGTAGGTACGGAACGGCACCACAGCGTGTCCACAGAAACCCCAGCGCTCCTGCAAACACGTGTGCAGAGCTGTACGCGAACCGTTCCGCCCGTATTGAATGACGAACAGCTCACCGACTCTTGCTCCAGCTGACGCGACTTCCTCCACAGAGAGCCGGCGCCCACGGTTTCTAAAGTCTCGTCCGTGAACATTTTGGAATATATTCAACCGGGGGTGTTAAAACGCCACTATTTTTCAGACTGTTTCCCTAAATGTCTCCACTGGGCGTCTGTTTTTTTTTTGTTTTTTTTTTGTTGCTGCCTCTACCTTCGCAATACGGGAAACAGAAACTCTATAAGACTGATTTGTTTAGCTAACGCCCGTAACGCAGACCACCTGAAACTGCTTAGCAGTGAAATTAAAGGTCTTCATCCAGCTGGTGGAAATGTCGCTGTGCAGTACGCAGCGCACGCCACGGCTACCTCCGCTATGAGTCCGTGAGGGATATATTTACGTCCATTCCTTTTTGTTCGGAAAAGCCTAGTCTTATTGTATACCGCATAGAAGTCACCGTCACAGTACTGCGAGTTTAATATTTTTTCCCAGTTTTTCCAGAGACTGCTGCTAGTCCATACCGTTTCCTGCCAGGGGAAACTCACTTCCGTATGCAGCGTCCGTCTCCCTGGAAACGGCGAGGTGGCGTTGAGGCCTGGGCAGAGACTGGAGCTGTGAAATCGGTTTCATACGCGTATCTAATGGTAATAAATCATGCTTTTTTTTTAGGATTGGAGAGGAAAAATAAAGGTATTAAACGATTCAGGTTCTTAACGTTCAAAAGAGCGGTCACTCAAGCAGGGGCATGAAACGCCAGCTTTATTTGGGACTAGTTGTCTACGAGTCACTATTATTATTATTATTATTAATAATAATAATAATAATAATAATACTATTTTAGCTCATCCAAGAGACACACATTTCGTTACCAGGGCATGAGAGGAGACGCACGCCCAGACAAACCTGCGAGCGGGGCCGGTGTTGAGATGGACCTCCGGTCTGAAGGCGGCGCTGCTCGGCTCAGTGAGAGCCGGGAAACAGTGTTTCTTCCAGTATCGCTGTGCACGAAGCGGGTCTAGTTCCTAGCCCAGCACCAAAGTAGAGGGGGGGGAGTTTGTGCGCTTAAAATGGCTGTCAGCCATAGCTAATCCGTGATTACACGGAGGAAGAGTGGCGGAGCTCGTAAAAAAACCGACACCTGCCGCTGACGGCACTGTAAAAACGGGCAGCTGATCGAGGCGCTTGGCTGCACCGGAGACTTAAAATATCCGTTCATGCAGTTCGTGGTAAAGCCTGAGAACAAGAACTATAACATTGGTGGTGGTGGGGGGGAGAAAAAAGAGATGTGGAAACGGCGTGAACTCCTCCTCGGTGCTGTGGCCGGGATGCGGCCGGTGCTGGCGGCGTGCCTGTGGCTGGGGTGCCTGGGGTGCCTGTCGGCGCCGGGCCGGGCCTGCGGGGGCGCACACGGCCCTTCCGGGGCCGGGGACCTGCTGCTGTGCCGGGCCTGCGGGCACGAAGTGGCGCTCGGCTCCGACCTCAAGTTCGTCGCCAGCGGGCTGGCCCTGGCGCAGCGCAACGGCACGGCCGTGGGAGGCCGGAGGGTGCCGGTCCAGCTCTTCCAGAACCCGCACGGCTCCCGGTTCCGGGTCGTCACGCTGCGCAGGGCGGCGGTGCGGCGGCACTGGCCGGCGGACGGGCATTTCTCCTGGTTCCCGGGGTACTCCTGGACAGTAGCGACGTGCCCGCGATGCCACACGCACCTAGGTATTCTTGTCTGAACGAGGCGTGAGGGAGGCAGTGGGCGTTATCCACTCCTCTCACCTGCGTGTGCAGGACTTCTGGGGCTAATTCATGGGGCATTAGGATCTGCACAGACCCATGCTGGCCCTACCAACACCTCTTCCAGCAGCAGCCTTAGCTTTCCCAGGAGGTGTCCTGTCCAGGTACTGACCAGGCTCACACCGCTGGGCTTCAGCGGGCTGCCAAGCTGGGAACTGCGGGGCGACATGGCTGCTGGCCTTGTATGTAACCAGACCTTATTCTGATTTCAGGTTGGGGCTTCCAGCCCAGTGACTGGCCAGACCGGGTGTCGGACAGGGAGTTTGAAGACTCGGAGCAGACGTTTGTCGGGCTGATCGTTGACAAGCTGCTGCAGGAAAACTTTGCCGCCTCTCTTCTGCTGACGCCAAAAACATTTCAGAGCTAAACCCCCCAGCTTCCTTACAACTAACTGCCTCTCTGTGCCTGAAGCCTACTGGACTTTCTGGTTCAGCGTTTCAACTCCGTGTAAAAGAACACGTCTCCACCTTTAAGACTTAAAACTGGTGTCTATGTGAATTCCAATCCTTTGTGCTCCAGTGTCGCCTCCACTCAAGTTCTTTTTAATTTCATACAGTGAAAAATAAAAATCAAACATGTAGCTATGATAAATGCAATTTGCTTTTCACTGTTATTAGCACAGCTTGAGACTTGCGATGCTTGTTTATCCTGTATCGTGTTTCACCAGGATACCGATGTTCACCAACATATACTAGACAAGTCTACAGCAGTATGTTGGTCAAGGATTTATGTTGGATTTTAAAATCTCAAAGATGCTCAACAGGTCCAGTTACAGAGTAGCAAGTTTTATTGTGCCATTCATGTACTGGAACAAGTAAAGGTTTATTCCACGCTGAAAAAATGTTACAGCTATGGAGCCTTCATTGGGTGTCTAGACCACAGCCACAACGTAGTCTCTTTTCTCTTTTCAGCACGGAATAAACCTTTACATGTTCCATTTACAGCCTACATATGCACACACAGCTCCCTACTTGAACTACATTCATGAATTGGACATACCTTCCCATGGCTGACCTAAAACATCTACAGCCAGGCATGATCCTAAAGAAGTGCTCCACTGCCCGTTTGGGCTCAAATTTCCCACTTGAAAGTCTAGAGCCCTAACACCCCTTCTCTCTTCCATGTAACTCCTACCCTGCCCCACTCAATGCAAACAACTTAAAATTACCTCTAAGTTTAAGTTATTGCACTCTGTTATCATCTCCTAGGCCAGAAAGAAAACCTGGTGCTGTTGGTTTCTCAAACATACTGGTTGAGTCTGGATACCACAAGAAGTTCTCAAATTTTTCCCCATTACCTTGGAGGGCAAGTCCGATTTTCACTCTTGCCCAGAGCCAACTTAAACCCGTAGTTAATAGACAGCCACAAACACGTACGTGTACACATTTAGTTTTATTGTAACAAAGCAACTTGTACACTTTAACGTTTAAAATTGAGCAGTTTTCTTTCCAGTGGAAAAAAAAAAGAAATGATTAGAGATGTAGATTCCATGTAAGATTCTACAGTTTTTTTTAAATATTTCTTGAAGTAGCAGGGTTCAAAATTACAAGAGAAGAGTAGTTTTTTTTTCTTTTTCTTTATTTAAAAATGTCATTTCAAACCTTATGGATGTCTGTAAAACATTACAATGCGATCAATCAACATAACCTCTAAAGTCAGTGATGTTGTGTCAAAATGCCCACCTGCGCCCACCCATTCCAAACGCCTATGATAACCCCACCCTAACCTAATATTGACCCCGAAAACATTATATTATTACAAGAGGAAACGGGAACGAGCTGGTACTTCCTAACTGTCCATATGATCACATGGGAAAACCGTGTCATCTCTGGGGGCTAAGCAGTATTGAGAAAAATTAAAAAAAGGAGGGAAGATAGAAATCTGTTCTCACTGCACAATGGCTTTTAAACTCACAGCCCTCAAAAGGAAAATATATATAAATTGCTACTTTATGTCCTTTTAAACTATAAGGTGGTGTGCAGATTACATGTTTTTCTGATGGTGTGGAAGTCGAAAATTAAACAAGGGACTTCAAGAGATTGCCACTAGTTTTCCAATGCAAGTCTTTCCTGGTAATAAACCTGTATTAAGGGATGACATGGACAGAAGAGAGACTTCAGGAGAACAAGGAGACGGAGCACAAAAAAATTTAAAAAAAGCATCTTGCTCCCAGGGATCTGAGGATAAATGAACGGGAAAATGGGGAGGGATGGAGGTGGAATCTGTCCTGTTCGGATTTAGTCATCTTCCCCGTCGTCATCCTGGAAATAAGCAGACCAGAGACGTATGAGTCTCGAGAGCCGCCCGGGTTCTGTACTCATCGGAAAAATTATCTGTAAATGACCCGATGCCACAAACAAACTATGGTCATCTGCCCCCACGCCAGTGAAGAACATTAAGTAGATCACATTGTTCTCAAAAAAGTTCATCCAACTACACAGCATTATAGATTGAATTGGTGAAAAAACATCCAGAATCGACATGATGAACAGCACATTCATATTAGTATCAGACTCCTATCTAAATATACAGCATTGGTCTGCACCTTGGACCAATCACAGGCTTTGCCCATTATCAACAGCAAGCTCGTTACCTCTCCTTCTTCCCCATCATCATCTTCTTCATCCTCCTCTCCATCGTCCTCATCTCCTTCTTCATCAATGTCCTCCAAGCCTTCCTCCTCCTCGTCGTCGTCCTCGTCATCTTCACCCTCTCCCTCCTCATCATCCATATCGGGGACCTTCAGAAGAGACGAAAAAGTCACTTTACTCAAGTCTCAAGATTTTTTTAAAAAAATTAAACCTAGAATAAACCTCCTAGCTGCGGCGCTTGGGATCCAAGAAACAGCTGGACGAGATTCCCACACCGATACACCACTAGCAACCTGGCTACAGAAGGAATGTCTCTTTTAGCCCTTCATGAGCCAACTGATTGACTTGAGAATGTGTGATGTGCAGTACCCCTCAAGAACAGCAATCCGATGACAGAAAAAATGAAAATACTCTGCACCACACATTATACACGCTACAACATGTACACTAAGGGAAACAATCCTCAAAGTAAACCAAATCCATAAAACAAGTACAATTGTTAAATTCTGATATTACAGGTGAATCTGACTGCCACCAGCATTCCTTGTATCTTACCAAGTAGTACTGCAAGGGATTTGGCCAGATGTCGTCCTTGATGACCTCTCCAAGCTCGTCCGCTCCAGCATCGGAGTGGTCAGTGAACCAGGTGAAAAAGCTCTCTGGCTCTTCATGCTGCCTCTTCCTTCCGGCTTTGTTCTGCGTCTGGCTGGAGCGCTTTGTCAGGTCCTGAAACGGCAAAGTAAGGCTCCACGATCAGCTCTCAGTACAGTGACAACAACGAACAGGTAATTATAAGCACATTTTCTACTCTAGCATCTCATACAATACCCAATAATGGTTTTAAGTCTTAAGACTCGGGTCTATGAAAAACTACTGTAACTGTACAGAGAAAAATCACAAGGTACAGCTTTTCCGTGGTCTCAATTGTCTTTTTCAAAAGAAGTGGGTTGAATCCAGCCTCACTTCAACACATATGGGTTGTGTGCAGTGTTAAGATCACCCTGCCACCACTATAACATTATAGTAAATATTCAATGCATGAGCTATGCAAAGCACCTGCTATGTATGCAAATCAATATGTACACCACTGCAGCACTTCCTCGATCCCTGTCAGGGGTCCACAAGTGCAGGCCACAGCCTGGGAAGAGACACATCAGGCTGAGCTGTCTGTTTTTTTAGGTTATTTTCACTACATGGCCCCAGTTACGAAGTCCTGACCAGCTTCACGAAAGGCCCACAGAGAACGTCACTGGAGAGGTGTTCAAACCAGGAGAGACTGGGGAACGTGTGGATGCAGAATCAGGACAGCATACCTTCCCCGCTTTCCATTTGATCTCTGTCGACTTTGAGGATGGGTCTCCACTCTCATTCAGGTGAAACTCTTTGGAAAGGATTTTGTTTTCGAAATAGGGATTTTCATCAAAGTACTGAAAGAGAAAAGGCACAGTCAGTCAAAAGGCAACAGGCACCTACCTCTACCCGCAGAACCGAACTCAGTTACAAAAGGCGCTTCCTTACAAAATCTATTCTGTATCCTGATTTTATGTCTTCAAATTCTGTCACTTCGACTCTGGTCAGGTAGTGAAGTGCCTCCTCATCCTCTTCCCCAAGAAGAGCAGAAACTGTTCGGAGAAGAGAAGTTTCAAATCAGAACAGCACCCCTCTCAAAAACCACTCCCTTACACCCTTCGCAATCACAAACCGCACCTCATGCAGACAATGTCTCTGCATTTCTGGGGGGGTATCCCTTAAACGTGTAAATGACTTGTAGGTTGTGCAGATCTAAAATCTTTGCACTGCTCTACCCCGTTCTGCAACATTGAGCAGACGTTATACCGTCCTTTCATAGCTCTTAAACCGCTGAAGACAAATCACCTTAAAAAGAAAGCACCTGGATACTAATAAGTGAATTCACAATATTCTGCTCAAAGACATGCAATTCTAAACAAATATAAAGTACTTTTATGCAGAGATTTCTGGGAATACAAGTTGTATTCAACTTTCAAAATCGATTATCCTGCCTTGTTTGAAAAAAAACGAGGGACGTGATTGTCTGATTAGTCAGCTCCCAGCTAGATGGACCAAAGGACCACCTTAAATTTTTGTAACCTTTCCTGTGTTCTCATGAGGTGCCCTATCTTAACATTCCCCTATAAGACTGCGCACAAGACGAGCGAATAAAGTAAGACACCACTGTGCTTGAAGAGGCAGAACCAACCTTGTGGATGATTGACGAACGTTGTGACCCAGAAGTTGGGGATTTTGGCGATCAGTTCTGACCTCTTCTGGAAGAATGGCTGGCGTAGTTTGTTGTATTTCTGTTCTACTTTTAAAATTTCCTCGCTGGCCTGTTCATTCAATCTGCAAAGGGGGGAAAAAAAACATGTTTCTGAGCAAACATTCCCTTACGATACCACAAAGATAAATCCAACAAAGAATATTGCTTTAAGGTAAATCAGATTTTAGGAAAGCTTCTCACCTGTCAATTTCATTCTGTACTTCATCAATATGTTCGATTGCTTCCTGTTGCTCTTTTTCTAGAAGAAATAAATGGTAATTCTTTAGGCAGAGTTTGCAGTCCGGATCAGAAACAAGCACGCTACGTGTTGCACCTGATTTCTAAACGGGTTTGAAGTGAAACTGCCCACCACGTGGAGCTGAGGTACATTAAATCGTCGTCTTCGATTTCAGCTCTAACTCCGAGAGGAACTTTGCAGAACCAAAACAACCGCTGGACACTCGCGGATCACCCAGGCTACAGAATCCGAAATCGCACCGAGGTCACCGAAAACGCTAAAAACCGTACGTCTGCAGCAGGCATTGACTGAACGCACCGAAGTATCTATCAGCAAGCGCAATTCTCGCCCTCTTACAACAATTTTATGATTTGGAACGGAAAGGCCTGTGAAATAGTCCCATTCCACAATTCAATAGAAGACGGCGTTTTAAGAAGAGTTTTAAAAACAGGCATGCATCCTGTTCCATCATCAATCGAGTTCACGCTTCTTGACAGAACACTCCGCACCTGGAAGACGAAATACGCTTCTCAACTTCCGCAGCAGCACACCATTCGCCACCGTAAAAAAAAAACCGTGTGAAAACCTTTTAAAGCAAGTTATGCTTTGCTAATTTGTTTTTTAAAAGAAACGCAAAGGCTCAGGTGGGTGATAAACGGGAGAACAAATTCACACACGCTCCTCGCTGACCGTTTCCCCGGACCTCCTAGCGAAACGAAGTGGGGGGGGGGGGTCGGTTTACAAAACAATTAAACCGCGCAGAAGTTTGCAAAATGCAAGCGCTATCGTCCCGTTGCGGTGCTTTTCTGGCGGTTCGGCCGGCATTTCGACGATATGTCGATGTATCCCGGAGCGGAGACGCCGTTTCCTGCTGCAGCCGCGTGGTTTGAATGAGCGAGGCCTCACGCTGGGTCGGCGCCTCCCTCCCTCTCCTGCAGGGCCGCCCGGGC